ATATTTTAAATAACCATAAGCAAAGTTTTTTTTGTTTGTTTGTTGTGGATTTTTTGGTTTTTGTTTTGTTTTTTTACTTTGTGGGGACTGAAGAGATGGCTCAGCTGCTAAGAGCACTGACTGCTCTAATTAGAGGACCTAGTTTCAGTTCCTAGCACCCACACTGCAGCTCACAAAATTCTGTAGCTCCAGTTCCAGGAAACCAGACACCCCTTATGGTTGTCATGGGCACTACATGAATGTGGAGCACATGTATGTAAAACATTCATTCATACACGTAAAATGTTTTATTTTCTTTTAAATTTGTACACATGGCTTGATTTAAATATTTTTTCCTATTTGCATATTTCTTTTCCTGAGCACCAAAAATGAAATAAGTAGTGATGTGTATATATATATTTAATGTTTTAGGTACGGAAATGTGGAATGAGAATGGGAAGCTCATTGTAGTGGCAGACTCTTTTGGAAGAATACAATCATGTTACACAACGTCTGAACACATCCAGGCCCTCTGTATGGACTTAAGCTTGGAAAAGCAACCTGCCATGCCCCAGGAGAATACTAGCAGCCAGTGCTTGGAAACTGAGGAGGGACATGCCCAGCCCTCAGACCTGATTGAACATGAAAGGGCATATGCAGGAGAAAAGTCTTGTGAATCTACAGTGTACCAGAGCTCTGTTCCTACTGAACACCCGGAAATCCTCTCTAGAGAGAAAGGTCACCCCTGCCATGAGTGTGGGAAAATCTTTCAGAGGAGTTCTCACCTCGTCCGACATCAGAAAATCCATCTTGGTGAGAAGCCTTTCAAGTGCAAAGAGTGTGGAAAAGTCTTTAGCCAGAATGCAGGTCTTTTGGAGCATCTCAGAATCCATACTGGAGAAAAACCCTATCGGTGTATCTATTGTGGAAAGAACTTTAGGCGAAATTCTCATCTTAATCGACACCAAAAAATTCATGGTCAGGAGGAGCCCAGTCAATGCAAGGACTGTGGAAAAACCTTTAGTAAGGCCCTACTCCTCAGACACCATCAGAAAATCCATGGTCGCTTCAAAAGACATCATTGTAATGAGTGTGGGAAAGCCTTCAGTTTGACTTCCGACCTTATTCGACATCACAGGATTCACACTGGAGAAAAACCTTTCAAATGTAAAGTGTGTCAGAAAGCCTTCCGTCTAAACTCACACCTCGACCAGCATGTCAGAATCCACAATGAAGAAAAACCCTACCAGTGTAGTGAGTGCAAAGAAGCCTTCAGGCAGAAGTCGGGTCTCTTTCAGCATCAGAGACATCACCACAAAAAGAAACTGGCTTAATGAGGTTCTCCGCCTGAGATATCGGAATGTTACATTGACAAGCAAACAGTGCTTTGTAAAATCACCATGGCATCAATTCTTGGAGGCTAAATTGAAAACCATTTGCCTCCATTGCTTCTTTCTTCTTTGTTTTACTTAAAGCCATAATTAGACTATAATAATTTTACTTTAGATTATAGGAGCAAAGTTAAAAGTTCTTCACTAAAGGATGTCACAGAGCTTTTAATGTGATAAGTACATGATTATCTCTAAGTAATAGTCTTGTGTATGAATGAAATCTTTTAAATCAGCAAGTAAAGTGCCTACAGATTTATACAGAATGGGAGCGAGCTGATATTTTTGCAAGTGCTATAGCAACAGGTTCCTGTAAAATGAAACTAATGAGGATTGGGGAGATAGCTCCGTGACTGAGCCAGTTGCTATGCAAGTGTAAGGACAGTGCTTTGGGTCTCCAGCATTCATGTAGAGGTCAAACGGGTATGCGGCCCACCTGTGCTCCCACCCCTCAGGAGGCAGAAATCAGATCTTTAGAGCAAGCTGACTGCCCATCCTAGCTCTATCAACAAACTCTGGATTCAGGTGGGAGAATTTGGTGACCAGTTGGTAGAATGATCAAGGCAGACTCCAGTGTTAATCTAAGTGCACATGTATACCCACACATGTAAACATCACACACAAAAATAATCCCAAGGGGCTGGAGTGATGACTCAGCAGTTAACACACACTGCTCTTGCAGAGAATCCATCCATTTTCAGTTCCTAGCACCTAGAGAGCAGTTCACAACCACCTGTAACTCCAGTTCTGGGGATTTGATGCCCTCTTATGTACGCTCTTGTACACAAATGGTCCACATAAGCTCACACAAGTACACACATACACAAATTAAAAAATCGTCAAATTAAGCCCAAAATAAACATAATAATGCTTATATGTACACATTCTCAAAAGTCTAACATGGGTTAGCTAAACCTTTTTTCTACTGGTTTTACCCACACACGGTCCTTATATCCACTTTACCAGTGAACTATCAATGAATGCAACTTCAGAAAGCAAAGAGAATTTTTTTCTGTTTAACTGTGGAGCCTACCCCTCATGGATTAGCTCATGTTATTTTACATTTCCTACCTGTTTTAACCACAGTATCAAGTTAAGTTATAAATCAAAGTTTTCTTTAAACTATGCAAGAGACTGAGTCATTTAAATGAACTGTGTTGAATTAATCTAAGCAGCAGCTTTCTTACATGGCAACTCCAGTGCCATTAGCGTGACCGCTTGGAAACACTTTAATGAATGTCCCTTGGGGGAAAATGACTTTTTCCCTTTAATACCAATGATGCAAATTTTAAATGATATTTATTTTTGAAATAATTTTGATTATTAAAATAAAATCCGGTTGGAGAGATGATCATGGCCATTATGTCATACTGATGCTAGTGATGTAGAGTAAGCTTGGAGTCTTCCCTGGCACGTTGCCAGGATGGTGAACATTGCTTGGGATAGCACAGGGTGTAGTTCTCCCAGAAAGGCCTCTTGAGTTATGCCACTCTGGGAGGACAAGTGGACCTTTGTAACGATTACAGTTTGGTTTCACTACACTTGGTTTACAAATATGTTCCTTGTCCAATAGAAAAGTCTGGGGTCAAAGATGATTCATACTTTCACTACAGTCTGAATCTCTGACCTTTTGGCTCCATCATCATAGTCCATGCCATCGGCTTTTAAGGCCATATGACTGCTGCAGTTGCTCCTATCACGTGCCTAGTGGGGACAAAAGGAGGGTAAAAAGAGGTTCTGCCTGGCTCAGTCAGCCCTTGTTGAGCAGCTTTCCCCAAATTTGCTTAGCATGTGTGTCTTAGGCCACAACTTCGACAAAGGAAGCAGGAGAGGGTCATGTTTTGTGCAGAGCTAACAACGTGGCTAAAGGGATGAAAGGAAGGTGGATGTCACAACCGCACCCAGCAGCAGTCCTTGGCCTGTTCCCTACTTAGAGCAAGCGACTAGGAGCAGCTTACCGTCTTCTATAGGGACACCAAATGTGTAAGAGATGGGTGTAGCGTTTTGAAACACTGAAAACCTTCATTAAAGTCAGTTCTGTTGCTTATGAGCTAAAACTATTTTTTCTTCTGCCTTTACGGACAAAATTAATTTGATGTTCTGGGTACTTTTCCCAAATAATTTGAGGACTATACTAAGATCAATACCTAAACAGTTCCATGGTAAAATTTAAAACTGATTTATTTCAGTTTAGTAAGGAAGCATATAGATAGGATTATCTTGTTCTGATGGAAAAATTTTTAAATTGGAAACCCTGTATACTCAGAATTACTTGGTTATTTGGTCTAAGCTACTCTTTGGATAGTATCCTGCCTTTAATATCCAAATAAAGTGTAATAGAAGATGGGGTGTCTCTACCTCTCAGTTCTCCCATTTGTAGAAGGTAAATCAGTTATATGATTAGCCACTACAGAATGAATATGAGCAAATAGGAGAGGGGTAAGTAACTGGTTGTCATTTTTATAAATTCATAATTCGCTTATCTTCTGCCTCAGCTCCCTCCCCCCACCCCCAGTGCTGAAACTAAAGGTTTGTACCATCATGCCCACCACTTAGGTTTGTGATAGAAGTTTGTATTGTGTTTTCCTAGTAATTTTTAAAGATAATGTCTTTTTTAAATTATGTGTCATGGGGTGAGGGTGGGCAGAGGTGTCCATGTAGTCCAGAGTTGTTAGATCTCCCTGGGAGCTAGAGTTAAAAGGAGTGAACTGCCCAATGTGGGTGCTGGGAATTGAACTCTGGTGTTCTAGAAGAGCAGTATGTTCTGCTAAGTTATCTTTCCAACACTATTATAATAGTAATATAATACAACCAAAAAACAACCTTGAAGTTGATACTGTGTTGCATAGGTGACTGAAGCAGGGGACCACAAGTTCAAATCCAGCCTGAGCTACATGTTTATAAGACCCTATCTCAAAACACAAGCGCTAAGGATACATCTCAGTGGTAGAGCATTTGTATAGCATGTGCATGGGCCTGGGTTACTCATGTCCGTACAAACACCTGCATGTAGGTATTTGTCACATTTGTGCTATTCCTAAACCTCAGAAGAAAGCTAGCTATCCTTCTGCAAATAGAACCTGTTTTAGAACACGCTTTATATTTCTACTGTTGAACATTCTTTTCCATGTTGATTAATCATTTGCCACTGGTTGTGTGAAAGTGATAATCTTTTTCTGGCTTTTCTGTTAACATCTTCTTTTACTCCTAAACAGCATGGTCCTTAAAAGTTAAAGAACTATCAAATTTTTTTAAGTGTACATTACTTTTTGTCAGTTTGTGTGTGTCATATTTACCCAACAAATATATTTAAAACAATGTAAAAAACATAATTTAAATATTGATAATATAAAGAGAATACTTTCTTATGGAAATAGCGATATTGACAGTACTTTAACAGTCTGTAAAGAGTTATAAAGTTTCAGAGTAATTTTTGAATAAAGTTCAAGCTTTAAAAAGAATTTAAAGATTTTGAATGGTGTTTCCTATAGCGTTACTTAGAAAGAATATAGCCTAAATCTACATTAATGAGGATATAGTCAGTATGCATTGTAACCTTTACAATGGAATACCATTGGGATGTTTATATACTAAGCTTAAGGCTGGGAGAGGCTCAGTTGGGAAAATGCCTATGACACGAGCATTTGAACCTGAGTTCAGACTGCCGGAACCCATGTAAACCGGTAGAGATAGTAGCACACAGCTGTAATACCGTTGGGGACATGGGGATTCCTGGAGCTTGCTGGTCCGTCAATGACAGCGGAATCAGTGAGAGACCTTGTCTAAAAATAAGAGTAACAGAGCATCTGGCATCGACCTCTGGCCTCCACACCCACATGCACATGTGCATGCTCGTAAGCTCGCATACAGAACACTTTTTTTTAAAGCTGCTATGGAAAAAATATTCCATGCTATCTTAGCAGAAAAAACGGAAGTGCAAAATTCCATTGTGAGTCCCACAAGTGCTTCAAGCACTAATATACTCTCCGAACAAAACGTCTTGAAAACGTGTCCTGATAATTTATAATTTTATAATTTATAAAACTCAGAGCAGCTGTGGAAGTGGGGCCATGAGTAACAGCTCTTGCCGCCAAGTCTGACAACCTGAGTTCAATCCCTAGTACCTTTATAGCAAAACGAGAACCAACTCCAGGTTGTCCTCTGACCCCCATTCGAACAGACACACCGCAAATAAATGTAAATATGGTGATTCTTGAATTCACGCTACCTGGGTTTTCGTCACACATAAAATTTGTGTACTTCTTCTCCTTGCGGCTTTGTGCCTTTTTACTCTTCTGGCTCTCCGCACAAGGCCGGGTAAAGGTATCTCGGCTTTGTCTTTTCAGATGCTAGTTATCTAGGGAAGAAACTTTTTCTCTCGAGGTGCTGGGGACTGAACCCAAAAGTATGCCAAGCAAGAGCTCGCCCTCAGGTACAACCCACGGGTTTTTTGGTTGAAATGATTGATATAAATATACTCCTTTCTGAGCGATTCGGAACCACCAGGAGAGGCTGGTGCCGAGCAGGAAAACCTCGACCTGGTTCCACCGGAGCACCAAAGACTGGGGCCTCGCTCCTGAAGAGCACAGAGGCAGCCGGAAGTTGCCTCTGGGCTCCAGCTCCGTCTACAGGAAGTGCTCCTTGGTGCCCCGCTCCCTCTGCTCCTTCCCCAGTCCCTCATCCCGTTGGACCCCGCCGAACTGCACCATCGCGGGGCTCGGACTAACAACAGGCACAGCCAGACTGTGGCGCTCTGGCCTCCTGACTCCGGTAGCATCCTTTCATGAGCTCGGCACATCCACCTTGCACACGTCCCCTAAAGTTTTAAGCAGCAAATACACACTTAACTGCTGTGCGCAAGCGCTGGCTTAGAGTCTTAGCATAGATTGGGCGCGCTAGAGCCCTGGGTAATGCAGCTCAGGCACATCTATTACATACGTCAAGAAGTCCATCAGTCTGTGTTGGGTACCAGGTACGTGCTGCGTTTGAAGAGTCTACGCAGAGGTCTGCTTGGGGCTATTCCGTGATCTGTAATAAAAGCTGGAGAGCGAAGTGCATACACCAACCGGTGTGCTGCCACCTGTGTGGCTGTCTTCTCCATTCGTACATTAGGTTTGAGGGTGGCCACGAAAGATTATGCACGTACAGAGTAGGCCACATGCCAGTGGGAAATTGAAAGGATGGCCCAGGACAAAGTGGGGAAGGAAAATGTCAGCCTGTGGAGTTGAGAAAACTGTGATTTTCTTGTAGGTAGGAACTAACTTCTTGTATTCCAAGATTAACTTTACACCTGGAAAATAGTTAGGTGTTTGATATGATGTGGTAAACTGGAAGTAAAACACAGGTAAGATCAGATTCTCGGAGTCTGAAGTTAGTTCAAGGAGAAGTGTTTGAAACTCGGCGGTGGTGGTGGTGCTGGTGAAGGTTCTGGGGGTGGAGGTATACTGGTGGTGGTGGTGGTGGTGGTGCTGCTGCTGCTGCTGCTGCTGCTGGTGGTGGTGGTGGTGGTGGTGGTGATCATCATCTGTCCCCCCCTCTTTCCACACACACCCCTTAATGGCAGTCTGTAGGAAAAAGAATTTTTCACTTTTCTTTCACCCTGCAACAATCAGTGTGAAACACTTCTCAGAGATTTGTTCCCCAGTTGTTTGCTAAACACCATTTGATGTTCCCCCTAATTCAATGTAGATGGACAGATCCTTTATGTTGAGGCTGAAGTATACAAACATAAGACTAGTTCCCATTTTCAACATCCAGTTTAAAAGCTCCAGCTTTTTTCACCTATGCTTCTGACACACTGGCTGGAAACCAGGGTTTTTACTACCCTTTCCAGAGCACACAGAACCCAGGAGACATTCTTACTGGTGTGTCATAAAGTACATTGCAAAGGATACAGATGAAGCAGAAAGTGTGCTTGTGTTTCCCAGGATAAGATTAAGGGGTATGGTGTTCCTATGCCCTCTGTGAAGGCAACAATCTCCAACTGTTTGGAAGCTCCACAAAACCTGCCCTTTGGAGTTTTGATGGAGACTTTATTATATAGGCCTGATTAATTAAATAATTGTTTAGTGGCCATTGATTTAACTTACAGCTTATCCCACCCAAAGAATTTTAGGAGTTATGTGTAAGCAAATAGTATTCCACACTAACACAGGAGGCATGTTGAATTATGATCAAAATTGTGGTTTATGAGATATTAGTGATGGGCGGTCAGAAGTAAGAAACAAAATTATTGTAATAGTGGATGGAAATCTGAGTCAAGAATTATGGGAGGCATATATGACCAGGTCTCACTACAGAAGGCATTTGGTGATTGGGAGCTTTGGAAGAATACTACCATACCTGTACATAAAGTGAAATATTCAATGCATCCTGATAAATGACCTTTGAACTATACTGTGTTTCTGCCAAGATAGCTTCTCCAAGTGTCAAATTATCCATCCTCTCTAGCTTAAGTATAACACATTCAAGCATTCTTACTGTTTATTACTTTAGGAGGTTCTGTTGTTGTTTTCAGTTTCACTGAGACAGAGTCTCTATATTTAGCCCAGGTTAACCTTGAACTTGCTAAGTAGTGCACACTAGCTCTAGCTCCTGCATGCTGGGATTTCAGGCCCACATCACCATGCCTGGACAGTCATCCTTATAGGTAGACTTTCTCTCCTCATGGTATATCCCTTACCTCTAGGCTCAGCTCCTTTAATGTTCAGGATAAGATTTTGATGCATAGAACCCTATGTGCATAACATGGTAAAGACAAAAATAAAAGTATGTTTCATGGGGTTTAGAAACTCTTTTGGCTTTAATTTTCTGTTCAATTCTTCCACTGTAGATGTTGGTTTTGCCGTACATCCTGAAGCATAGACTTCAGCCAAATGAACCTTCCTGCAGCTTCTGAGTTCAACCTGTATGAAGCTTTGCTGGGTTCCACCCCTGAGAATGAAGACACCCTTGTGACGGTGAAGGAGGAAGAGACCAGCTGGGAGCAGCCAGGCAACTCACAGGCGGGCAGGAGCCACACTCAGGAGCTTTACCGCCTGAGATTTCGGCAGTTCTGCTACCAGGAGGCTCCTGGGCCCCGGGAAGCTGTGGCCCAGCTTCGGGAACTTTTCCATCAGTGGCTGAGGCCAGACACCCACAGCAAGGAGCTGCTGGTGCCAAAGCAGTTCCTGACCATCCTGCCAAAAGAACTTCAAGGCTGGGTACAGATGTATCGTCTGCAGAGTGGTGACGAGGTGGCTAGACGAATCTAGCCCCGGAACACAGAGACATAGGGCAGCAGGTGGGAAGATGAGGAATGTTCTAGCATGGAAGAAACAGGGTAGGAATGTGTGTTCGCTAGCGTGTCACCTTCTATTCTGAAATAATCCAATTAGAGAAGGACCGCAAAAACCATGTAGAGCGCTTGGATCCTTTTCGAACAGATTTAGCTGTTGGTAGCACTAGTTCCGGGATATAACCTACCTACCCTGTCCATATTTCTGTGTAAGCCAAATTCATTATCTTTTGTACAGGCATGCACATTTATCCAGACTCTTTTCCCCTTAACCAGCTGATAATTAATTATAACTATGTCTTTTTACCACGCTACTTCAGCATATATTTATGAAGATAAGGAAATGCTTTCACAGTCTGAATGTGGTCATCAGATTGTTTCCTTTGGCTGGCTGTCTACCCCAGGGGTAGCACATTCACTTGCCCATCTTCTCACAGGTACATGGGGTGGTTTTGCCTTAGTCACAGGGTCATGGGAGTATGTGTCCAGATTTCTTCTCTAGAGAATTATCAGTTTTCCCTTTTTGGGGGTACTGTGTAATTGGTGGAAGACATCTTGAGAGTATACAGACCCTAGTCCTCATGCCATTTTTGCCTGTAATCCATTATCTGTTTCTGGGGGACAGGTCCATTGTCTGTCTTGCCGGCCTTGATTGCTGAGTCCCCAAATACAGAGGAGAGCCTGTCTGAGTGAGTTTGCAGTGCTAATTTGCTGAATGAATGTGTGTCAGTTCTTCTTGAACCTTCTTTAGAGGGGTAAATGGAGCTTGTTCTGTGTTCCCCTGCAAGAGTCTGCTTCCCACCAGGATACTTATTCAAGGTGAATCTCTTGTCTCCAGGTGACTTTCTATGTTCGGGAACAAAATGTGCACCTGGTGGCCACAGAGTATCAAGGTGCCTCTTTGGAGTATCAGAGCCTCCAGTTCCTCCAGCCTGGGGTCACACCCATGACATGTGATCCTCCACAGCTGCCCCAAGAAGTGAGTGGTGAGTGCTTGATGGTGGGTTTGGTGCAGACACCAGAGGAGGCCACCAATAGATACATGGTTTTCTCAGAAGAGAGCTGACTGTCTCTAGCCTCAAGGTCTTCTTTCTTGTTTTTGCTTACAAAGTAATTAAAGTATCATCTCATAGTCACTCCCATGCGTGTGTGTGTGTGTGTGTGTGTGTGTGTGTGTGTGTGTGTGTGCTGTTATTGTTTTGGTTGGGGATGTTTGGGGTTTTCTTTGTTTGTTTGTTTTGTTTTGTTTTGAGTCTGGGTCTCAGTATATAGTCATGGATGAGTTGGGACTCACTACGTAGACCAGGATGGACTTGAACTAGACCACCAGCCTCCACCTCCCAAGGGCTGGGGTTAAAGTCCTGCACCCCCATATATGTATATATTTTTGTGCTCACAGGAGCCATGGCACAAGTCTGAAGATCAGAAGATGACTTGCAGGATTCAATTTTCTCCTTCCACTCTGTGAGTTCTGGGAATCAAATCCAGATTGGCTTAGCAGCAAGCTCCTTTACCCACTGAGACATCTCTCTGACCCCTCCATTTTGTCTTTTTTATGCTTTACTGGGAATTGAAAAAGCCGAGGGCTTTATATGGGCTAAGCAAACACTCTACCAACCAAGCTATATCACCTCCCTTTTTGTGTTGGGGGAGGCAGGGTCTCACGTAGCCCAGGCCAGCCTCAAAGTCACCTTGCAGTCAAGAATGACCTTGAACCCTTCCTTCTCTGTGCCCAGCTCCCAAGCTGGGTTTATGGGTATATACCACCAAGACTAACCAGAGCCCAGGCTTCAAGACCAGCCTGGGGAACATAGTGAGACATTGTCTTTATATATTAATTATAATATATGATACTCAGGCATTGTCTTGATATATTAATAATAATATATGACACTCAGGCATACAATTTATGATTCATGTTAGTTGCCACAGTATTCATTAAATTTCCATTACTTGACACTTTTTATAAATACAAGTTTATATCTTGTATTTAAAACTGTGGTTTTTGTCCATTCCCATATCAAAGCAAGTTTTTAAAATGATACAAAATTGCAAACTGTTAGAATTGTAACATATTGTTTATCTTGCCTGTACAGTGGGGGGAGGTGTTTGTGTACATGCTATATAGCAAGTATGCTTAGGTCAAAGGATAAGTTGTGGGAATCAATTCTGTCCTACTGCCATGTGGATCCTGAGGATCAAACTCCGGTCCCAAGGCTTGGTGACTTTAGCCACTCTAACCACTTGGTCACTTTAACCACGGAACCATCTCACCTGTTCAGAATTATAACATCTTCTTATTCAGTACCTTCAATTAATAGGAAAACTAAAATTCAGTTTAAATGATTTGCCCAAAGCCAACAGATTCAGAGCTATTTCTAAAATGTAAGGCTCCTGACCTTTGGCCCTTGTCTACCACATGTCTGGTTTATAGCAAAGGCACAGGTGTTGTGTGAGTATTGACCATAGCAAGCTCTCTTATCCGAATGCAGCCTGCACCAGCAACTTCTTCCTTCTCTTTTATCTAGGATTTTAATTTGTATTATGTATGGGAGTAGCTTTTACTCAGTTGATAAAATCTGTTTCTTAGTCTGGAGGTTTTAAAAGAGAAAGTTTAGGAGACTGGTCCAAACAAAGGAACTTCCAAAGCAAAAGCGTCTCATGTGGGACTCTTGTCTCCTCTCTGTATACGATTTGCTCCTCGGGGAGTAGCCTGTCCCCAGGAAGACAGTCCCAAAGGCATCACAACAGTGCTCCAGGCTAAGTCACTGGGGTTCCAGGTGAGCAGCTGCCCAGGCTTGTGGGCCCTTAGTGGTGACTTCCTTTCCCCTGACCTGTTTGTTGCCCTTCTCTCGGCCTGCTCTTCTCAGCCTGAAAGCCTTTAGGCTGGCACAGTTCCTTGGCGTTCCCTCGGTCACAGACTATCCCAGATCCTGTTCCCACCATCTGGAGACCCTATGCTGATGGCTTTGGCCTTACTTTGTACCACGTCTGGGAACACATTCAGATCTCAGGTGTAGGAGTAAACAGTGTGGCGTAAGACTCTATTCAGCCAGATTTGGTGGCACACATCTATAATTCCTGCACTTGGAAAGCGGAAGCAGGAAGGTCACTGCAAGTTCGAGGGCAGCATGGTTTATATAGTCAAACCCTCTCTCAGAGACACAGGGACAGAAAGAGGCGTATGTGGAGACAGAGACACTTAGGACAGGCGGGGTCTTTCCCATGTAAGTCTCTTGTTCCGCTTGTCTCTCAGGGCACTGTCTTTATGGTATTGTCTTTCCTGCTTTTCTGTGACTCCCTGTTAATCAAGTCAGACCTAATACCTCATGTTCTTATCTACTACCTTACCTGTCTGAAAAAGGCAACCTGCTTATACTTTATACTTTATAGTTTATACTTTAAATATAAACTCAATTTCCGTATTTGTAACAGAATATGAATACAAAGAAAACGGTGATTATATGTGTGTGTGTGTATTTGAAGTATGTATTCCAGACTGTAAAAGCTTTAACATAATTATATCTGAGAAATGACAAAGTAGTTAGATGTTTGCACCAATGCACAATCAATGATTATAAATTAAAAAGGAATAATATGAGGAGACCAGGAAAGTCAGAGGATAGAGGTGTATGTGCACAGGAGATGAAAATTACTATTGAATCAAATTATAAGAGACAAAACAGACATAAATTTAACTGAAGCAGAGCCAACATGTGAGTTGAATTTTGTCCACTCAGAAAGTATGGTAAGTCCTAATTTTAGGTACCTAGGAAGATGGCCTGATTTGAAAATGAGCTCATTGAAGATGTAATGAAGCTAAGGGGAAGCCATAGTATATTGAGTGGGCCTACACCCAATAACTAATGGCAGAAAAAACAGAAATACAAAAGAAATAGACAGAGACATGGAATAGAGTTGGGAGGGCAACCCAGCGAATACTGAATCTGCCCATGTTTATTTTCCATATGCTTTCAACCCAGAACCGGGGAAGAAGGCAGAAGACTGCTTTACCATGATACAAAGAACAGAGTAATTACCTCTTCAATACCCCAAACATCAAGTAACCATATTCTGAGTTGAGTATTCTATTGTTTAGGCAGGGCATGCAGTGACCACACCTTAGGTCAAGCATCCTGTAGATAGCCACTCCCTGGGTCAAACCTCTGTCACAACTTTGAAGGAGCAAATAGGCCTGAACTCTGACCTTTGGCTAAGGTAGAATGAATCCACGTCTGTGGGCTCCGTCACCACACCTACTTCAAAAAAATCATATCTCCTAACCCCTCTGAAGTTGTCCGCTCCCCGATGACCACACATTCAAATCTGTGAACCTGTGGGGACCACTCTTGTTCAAACCACCTCCCCATCTCTAGCACTTCATTCACTTTTTTCTTTTCCTTTTAGATATTGATAAAAACTGGGGAAGAAACAGCGAAGACCTTTGCCTCAGAGGAGTGGTCCCATCTGGCTCAGAGGAGGCTCTGTGGGAACTCGGCTCAGCAGGAAATAGTGCCATACGGGAAGAACTCAAGAACACCCAACAGGTCAGTGTCTATGTCCTGAGCCATGCAGATCCTGCAGACACAAGAAGGCATTGGATGGAAGCTGAAAAGCCAGTGAGTCAAAGCCTTCTCTGGAACAATGCAGAGCAGGTACCTCTCTTCTGTGGTCCTAAGACGCCTGGGCCGGGATGTCTTGTCAGTATAGAGCAACTGCAAAAGCTCGAGGCAGCACAGTTACCTCCATCATCTCCTCGTTATTCTGTCCTGCTTGTTCTCTCCTCCCTTGTATTTTTATGGAAGTGTAAATGGAGAAGCCAAGAGACAGAACTGAGAACACAGTGAGTCTGCCCTGGCAGTTGAGGAGGAGCTGTCGGAGCTGTGAGAGGACTTAGGGTAGACAGCATTGCATTTCCAATCTCCGCTAGGAGACCCGAACAAGAAAAGGATCAAAAGGAAATCTGAGAAGGAGAAATTATATCCAGTAGGAGGTGCTTCTTAAGTGTTGACTGGGAGCGTACATAAAGTGTCACAGAGATACTGCTAAAGTTGAAAGGGAAGGATCAGATCCAAGGCAGATGGTGGGCTTTCGGTGACGCCATTACCTTTTCAACAACTTGGGGGAGTGGGTAGGGGAAGTGGAAGGAAAAATGGGATAATTAGCCACACACACAGGGCAGGGTGCGGAGATTCTCCATGCTAACATCTATCCATTTTAGGGAAACAGGAAGCTAATTCTGAGATAATCTCTCTCTCTCTCTCTCTCTCTCTCTCTCTCTCTCTCTCTCTCTCTCCTTCCTCTCCTCCTCTTCTTGTCCTATGTAGTAATCTCAGGGCCTGGCTGTGCACTCCATACCCTAAAATGACTTGAATATCTTGAAACTAGAACAAGATATGGCACCACTAACTTAACATAGAGTTTTAACTGGAATGTGAGAATCTGCCCTTTTGCTCGTAGGTCTACACAACATCAAATGCCCAAAACCACGATTCACAGTCCTTTTAAGAATAAAAATGTTTTATTCTTTCATGCAGCAAACACTTTGAGGTAGCTGGTCTGATGTATCAGCCTGCCATGATTTCAGAGTTCCAGCCTCTGGCAGCCCCACATTCTCTTGCTGTCCTACATCCTTCCCTTCTCCCTTACCTCACTCTTCCTCAGGCCCCACTCCAGGATCCTGACCTCACCATATTGGCCTTACTGTACCACAGCTCTTGGAGTTTAGATTTCATCATTGAAAGGCTTTAATGTCATGACAGAATTCATGACATTATCATCTCAAGATGAATGTATTGAGCCAGGTCAGGTTGTTCATGCCTATAATCCCAGGACTTTCAAGGCTTGGGCAGGAAAATAGGACTGCCTTTATTTCAAGCTCATCCTAAACTACGTAGTAAGTTCCAGGCCAATCTGGGCTACAGAGAGAGACTGTAACTCCAACTCCAGGAGATCTGACACATCTGGCCTCCTTGGGTACCTCAGCTCACATATACATCATACACACACACACACACACACACACACACACACACACGCACGCACGCACGCACACATGCACACAGGCACACACACACAATTTAAAAAATAAAATGAAAATCTTAACAACAAAAAGCCAGCAAGATGGCTGAGCAGGTAAAAGTACTTGCCGTTCAAGTCTGACCAACTGAGTTTCATCCCAGAGTCCCGTGATGGAAGGAGAGAACCAACTCCCCAAAGTTGTCTTCTGAGCACCACCTGTTGCCCAGGTATTCATGTACTTCCTCTCCCAGATCATGCAACAGCAAATGAAATGGTGGGCTGACTCCTAGCAGGTGAAGCGTCTACCACAAGCCTGATGGTCTGCCTTCAGTCTCCAGAACCCACAGAGATGTGGGAAGAGGTGGCTCCGCTGTCCTTTGACTCCCACACACCACTGTGGTCCACTCACACAACAATAAGTAATGTTACCTGTGTCAAATAAGACTTTTCATCTCATGGTAGCTTGCTCCCTTGTAGATCCCACACAAATTAGTTCAAGGGCAATGAATTTGAGTTTCTTTTTGGTTTCTCCCCAGAGAAATTTATCTAGCAAATGAGTATCAAGCTAAGGGATGCTAAATCCTTCCTTTCTCAGAAATCCCAAGAGTTCTGAGAAGACCTGGTCAATAGTGAATTGACACAAGGTTGTGTCCAAGTTTAAAGAAAACAGGGATACAAGAATGGAAGTCTCAAGTTACTGCTGACAGAAGCTAGCCAGGATGAGGTGCTTGGAGGCAGAGCTAGAATGGTAGAAGAGGGCCCCCACAGAGGCCTGCCCAGCACAATAGGTGCCCAGAGCAGCACGGAAGGTCTGCATCCTGCTCCTACAGGACAGAGGGAGTGAGGCCTGTGCTTAGTGTGCTGGCTTCTGAGAGTCAGCAATTAGTGAGTGAAAGAGGAGGAGAGGTCAGAATGCCAAGAGTAGCGAGTCTTCCCCAGGAAACACGAGGAGTAGAAAGTAGATCCCCCCAGAAAATGATTCTAGTTTATACTTTTCATGTTTGGAAAAAGAGGTTTGGGTTGTTTTGTTTTGTTTGTAATGATGTTTTATTTTCTTTCCCAGAGACTGTGCACCCCACATTCCTGGTAGTACTACTTTCCCTAGCGAAAAGACAGTTTCGAGTGTGAACACTCTCAAGAACTGCCACCTGCCCCGAGACTCCTGGGCCAGGATGCACATCACATCCTTGCAGTATGCAGTCGGAGACATTACTCGGAAAGGGAGGGAAAAGGACAAATCTCGGGTGGGCGAGCTGCTTCAAGGCCTGGCATTCTCTGATGACTCAGAGGCAGAGGAAGACAAGGAGCCTGAGGTACAACCTGAGAGAAAGAAGCTAAAGGTGTCCCGTGTCCCCGAGAAGAGATGGACTAAGAGAGACATTAAGCCCAGCTTTCCAAGCTGGTCAGCACTGGACTCTGGAGTTCTGAATCTCAAGAGTGAGAAGTTGAACCCAATAGAGCTCTTCGAATTATTTTGTGATGATGACACATTCAACTTGATTGTCAACGAAGCCAATAAGTATGCTTCTCAGAAAGACGTCAACTTGGAAGTCACAGTGCAGGAAATGCGGTGTGAATTTGGTGTCCTGCTCTGGAGTGGATTCATAAGGCACCGCAAGAGGGGAATATATTGGGAAGTCTCTGATTTTGATCAGACCCTGGTTAGAAATGCAATTTAAAAAAGACAGATTCGAATTGAATTTCTCATACCTGCATTTTGCTGATAATAGCCACCTAGATCAAACAGACAATTTTTCAAAATTAAGACCTCTAATAAAGCAAATGAATAAAAATTTCCTCTTGTATGCCTCCCTAGAAGAATACTATTGTTTTGACAAGTCAATGTGTGAAGGCTTTGACAGTGACCAATTTCTGAATAGAAAGACTCTTAGAATTGGCTGTAAAATTTGGTGTGGTATAACCACTCCAGGTTATCTAGTTTGGTTTGAGCCCTACCAAGAAGATGCAGCTGTGGAAACATGAGGAGCTGGACCTTGGGCTAGGTGGCAGTCTAATACTGAGCTTTGCCAATGTTCTTTTGCAGAAAGGTCACTATCCATATCGCTTGTCTTATGATAGCTTCTTTACAAGCGTGAAATTGATGTCAGCTTTGAAGAAGAAGGGAATAAAGTCTACAGAATCAATTTGTGAAAACAGGACCGAAAAATGTCCGCTTATGAATGTAGAGCATATGAAAAAGATGAACAGGGGCATTTTGATTTCAGGGTGGAAGAAAACGAAGAGATAATTTTCTGCCACTGGCTCGGTGACTGCTTTATTAGTCTATGTTCAAATGCTGTGGGCATAGAACCAGTCAGCAAAGTAAACCCTGTTGCTGATGATGAAGAGTTCCTTCAGGTGAGCCAGCCATCCATCGTGAAACTGTATGAGGAATTCGGGAAAAGTATAGCTAAAATGAATCAAATTATTTCCAAATATACGGTGGGGCTAAGAAGTAAGAAATGGTGCTCAGTTTTGGTTAGTTACATGATCGATGTAGCCATGAACAATGCATGGCAGCTGCACAGGATCTATAGCCCTGGCTCTCCTTTAGATCTCTTGGGTTTCCGGAGGTTTGTTGCACACTTTTACTTGGGACATGATGTTAATCTGTCTGATTAAGACAGATAAAATACATATAACAAGATACAAAAAATTATAACCATAATTAGATTACCGTACTAAAGCAAATGTGATGGAGATGGTATAATTCAGTAACTGGAATTTTTTAAGTCATAGATTATTACAGCAAATAATGTTAAAAAACATTTTGTGCATATATTTTTATTCATATATATATTTTTATATATAATATATTTTTATTAATAAATAAAATAAAATAATATATTTTTATTAATATATAATATATATATATTTGTGTTATATATCTAATTTTGTGTCAGATACGTGAAATCACTTACTTAATAAATTATTTTGTATATTAAAAGAGCAAAACCCTACCATTTCCCCATTGTCAGTTTTCGTTAGAGGTTTACATTTTTAAAGTGCAGGTATTATCATACTCTATAGAAAGGCACTGAATCCATAGTCCAAAATAGATACCCTTCTCAGAAGGGATGAATGTACTAAACAAGACATAGATGTAAGAGATTAAATATCTCAGCTCTATCGCATTGTATGTAGTTGAAACAGGGCCAGTCCTGAAATGGTGCACAGGGTGGAGGTGTGAAGCTGTGTCTTTGAATGCTGAAAAAAGTTACGTCGTACTATGAGTCGGAAGAAGTCAAAAAGAGAAAGATGAAACAAGTTAAGTAACAACAGAGTTATCTTAAGAAGAAAGCAAGTAAAGGGTTATTGACAAAAAGCCCGTGTTAAAGTCCCTTAACATAAGTAAGTCTAAATTGAGGTAATTAGTGATTATTCATCCAGTTCATCTAATGAGAAACATTTGGAACAAGTGAACTATGACTCCATATTGCTGACGTCTCATGGGTGGATTAGACATCATTTCTGTGTTTTAGGCACAATTTTCTCACACTATTGATTTTATTATGTATATATCTGTAGTAGAATGATATCTTAGTTACTTTCCAATTGGTGGGACATTATTCATGACCATTATTGTGGGGAACATGGCTGACAGACATGGCATTGAGCAGTAGCTGAGAGTTTAAACCTTGATCCACATGCACAAGGCAAAGTGCTGACTAAAAATGGAATGGGCTTTGAAACTTCAAAGTCAGTCCTCAGTGACACACCTCTTCCAACAAAGCTACTAAATCCTTCCCAAACAGTTCTATCAACTGGGGACTAGATATTCAAGCATATGAGCCTATGAGGGTCATTCTCATTCAAACCACCACAAAGGGATTTTTTTGTAGTTTGTAATTATTATTTTAAGTGTATGAGTCCCCTGTTTGATGTGCGTCTGTATACCATATAAGTATCTGATGCCCCATGGTTAGAAAAGGGTATCAGATCTTCTGGAACTGGAGTTACAGATGGTTGTGAGCCACAGTGGGGGTCCTAGGAATTGAACCCAGGTCCTATGAAAGAGTAGCCTGTGCTCTTAACTACCAAGCCATCTCAGCAGTCCTCTTGTGGGACAAGTTTATCTATGTTTTGAAATATTTCTTTACACAGTGTGAAGATGAGTCACTGTGATTGGTTTAATCAAGAGCTGAATGGCCAATAGCTAGGCAGGAAGAGGTTAGATGGGACTTCTGGGGACAGAGAGGACTGTGGGAAGAGGAAAGGCAGAGTCAACAGCCAGACACAAAGAAAAAGCAAGAGGCACAAGATGGAAGAGAGGTGACGCCAAGTGGCAGAATGTAGATTAATATAAATGGGTTAATTTAAGTTATAAGAGCTAGTTGAGACAAGCCTGAGCTAAAGGCCAAGCTTTCACAATTAATAGTGTTTCTGTTTCATTATTTGGGTGCTGGTCATCCAAAGATAGTCCAACGAGAAAGTACTGCTACACATTCATTACACAGAAGGTCCTCAGAATGTGTTTATTTCCTGTATAGATTAAACTCTCTCTCTCTCCCCCCCTTCACTTCTTCCCCTCCCCTGCCTCCTTTTCCCTTCTTCCCTTTTTCAGTCAGAGTCTCAAAACAACAAACAACAACAACAAAATACTCCAAACTGCCTTTGAAGTTGGCAATCCTTCCTCAGCCTCCCAGACACTTGAATCACAGGTGTGGGCCACCACGTCTGGTTTGGCTTCATCTTAAAGTGATAGCACAGAAGTGGCCTTGCAGAAGCAGGTCTATGCTTCTGTGATTGTGAAGTATAAGGACTGTAGCCTTAAGAAAAATATTCTTTTAAAAAAAGCTTTGTGGCTTTTCCCTCTTGCTTTCTCACCACTGGAGAAGACTAAATGAAATGCCTTAATAACAAGCAACTCTATTGTAATACACCTTATTAAATATGGTTTGCCTTAGTAAATTGCCAGATACTGTTTAAGCTCACTAAAAAGCTGGTTTTAGAAGAGGGCTTGACTCCTCCACTTCAGGTCCAAGCATGTTTGTCTAGAAGTATCCTTCAAGATCCTGAATACGCTGCCCCACCACCCAGCCCTAGTCTGAGGCAAGAGGAAAAGAGAGCAGTAAAACTGCCAAGAGTAGAACTACCACGTCCTTGAGAGGCTGGTTTGCTTCCTAACACGCGTGGTGGCTCACGATCACCCGAGTTCCAGGGGATGTAACACCCTCTTCTGACCTCTGTGGATGACAGGCATACATATGTAGACAAACCATTCGATAAAATGAAATAAATCTAAAATAAAATTTTAAGAAACAAATACATGGATGTGATTTCTGTTTTAATGCTAGTGGTGGGAAGAAATTCTGCCTGGGGCCTTCTTTGTTTATCAGGGCTCCAGCTGATTGTGTGACTGGGCCTCCCAGTCCTTCCTCATCTTTTCTTGATGTTCTAATTCTGCTGCTTGCAGTGTTGTGCGCTTCTGTTTGCCTATGTTTAATAAGCTCACTCATTTTGAAACCAAAAGCATGGGTAGGCCGGTTTATTCTCCATAATGAATATAACTGGGAAAGTTGTAAGAATCTACAAAATGTCAGCACCTTTTCTAAAGAGTAAATAGTCCAATGCTGCGCAGTTGGGAATATCTTCCCTTTTATGTGTTGGCTCAGGAATGAGCAAAGTGCACCACTAATCTTAGTGAGCAGTAGTGATCCAACAAACTGAAAGATTTGAAGTTACACCATGTGGCTGAGGCTTTGCAAATGGTTACTGAGAGAAATAATAGGACTTTTTAATTCCAGGTGGGAAAGCTACCGAGGAACGAGATTGAATGAGACAGTAAAGAGTTCAATTAGAAAAGGAGATGGTGGACTTGTGGAGCCATCTGGTAATGCTGCCAAGAAATCTGGGTCATAAGTTGAGAAAAAGAAAGGGAACATTATCACTGCAAGAAAAGTTCATTTTGAAACTGGTTCCGTGAGGGAAATACAAGGGGCAAAGACCTGACTTATGATTCCTGGCCCTCATCTAGTCTCGTATGGTACTCCTTAAAGACTGTGTGCAAAAAAGTGAAGGAAACTATGAAGTATGAAGAGTTCACTGGGGAGGCTGATAGCTTCACAGCAAGAATCTGTATCAGGATCATTAAAGCTGACCCTCTTGCCAATGAGCAAGTTACTATGACTCTCATAGTGAATGAAACAAGTAACCCAATCAACCGAGCGATAAAATACAACTGAGGGAGCCGGGCACCTGATCCCTGTGAAGGTGACTCAAGGCCACCTCCTTCTGGCCCCCAGTGAGCAGCGAGAGCCCTGGATGAAATATATGCAGTGACTTCCTGAGAACGGTGGCAGATTTTTAAAAAGAATGAATTGTGAGTTTCAAGGGGTCTCAGTGGGTAAAGGCACTTGTGATGTATGCCTGATAGCCTGGGTTTGATCCACTGAACCACAGAGTTAGGTGTAGTAGTTTGCATTTGCAATCCCTGCTGCTATATATGGAACCTGACACAGAATTGTCCAGAAGATTACATGCCAGCTAGCATGGAGTATACAGAAAAACAGAAGCAATAGGAGACACCACGCCTCAACAAGACAGAAGGAAGGAGCCAGCTCCCAAAATATTGTCCTCTGACTTCCACACCATACGATAGCACATACATGTCTTAACTTATAAACACATACCACACACATGCACAATAATAAATATTCTTTTATAAAGTAAAGGATAGAGACCCTGACTTGATGTGGGATTTCCCTTTGTATGCTGTGAATATGTTTTATTACCATTTATTAATAAAGAAGCTGTTTTGACCTACAGCAGAGCAAAATATAGCCAGGCTGGAAGAGATATATAGAGAGAGTAGGCAGAGTCAAAGAGATACAATGTAGCTTCTGAAGGAGATAGATGCCAGAACTCTACCCAGTAAGCCACAGCCTTGTGGTGATACACAGATTAATAGAAATGGGCTAAGATGTAAGAACTAGTTAATAAGAAGCCTAAGCTAACAGGCCAAATAGTGTTTTAATTAATATAGTTTCTGTGTGATTATTTCACGTCTGGGTGGAAATGAATGAGAAGTCTCCACCTACAAAATGACACTCACTGCCTGGGGCATGGATCCACATAAGACCTAAAATAGCTTCTAAAAAGAACAGGAGCCAAGTACAGTTTCTTGGCAGCCACATTTTTTTTTCCAGATAGGCTGTGTTTGCTGGCAGCAAGCAGAGGTGTGACTCCTATAAAAGAAGGCTTCCTGATTCAACATTAGCAGTAAAAACTGCGGGGCTTCTTTAAAATAATGGTGACCCTGCTGGTTCATATTAGTAGCATAAACTCTGGCTCTTTGGGGAGGTCCTGCACTTAAATGGGGTTTGTGAGCGGTGTTCTACAACTTGCTTAATGGCAACGTAGGCCCGCTGCTATAGACCTGC